CGAAGGTTCATTCCTTTTGTGATTTTCATTCTGTTATGTGAGAAGCTTCTGGGTTGTCCGGTTCTGTGCGTCTTCTCCGTTCTTGGTGACTTCTCTCTACTGTGTGTAAACCTAATAGCTTCTGGTTTTGGGTAAAACCTGAGTGTCTAGTCTTTGTGATGTTTCGCTTCTAGGTTGTGAGGGAGATAGATCAGTGTGTCGATCCCATTTCATTGTAGTAGCTGATTTGTGCATTTTCAAGAGGGTTTGGGGTTTTGTGGCCGATCCTATATTGTACAGACGGGTACAATCCCATTTTCTGAGCCTACTATAAATAGAATCTGCTTTGTGCATATTGTTCAACTTTCTTGGTGAAATTGTGATTGCTTCCGTGTGTATCTTGAGGCTCTTTACCCTTACAAGTGATATTAGAGCACTGTTGAGGGTGTAAGGAGCCTTCGTTCGAGATTTCATCACAGAAATTTTAAGGTTATGTTGATATTTGATTTTCTCGTTTTAATTGCAGTAAACCCTAATTCTTCTTTAAGTTTCGAATTAGCTACTAATACATTCTTTTGAATTATGTAAACAAAATAGAGTTTGATTTTGTGATTATTCTAAATTAATCTAATAAAACTCTAAAATTAGAATTTGTATCAAATTATGAATGATTGTATTGGATTTCGAATTCACATATGACTATCTATTTCAATTCTTGATTTGTAATTTAGTTTCGTTCATGTGTTCTTGACAATAGATAAAATTATTATATAAAATTTTCTTTTCCATAATAAATTAAATATATCTTAATCATGACCTGAATATATCCCTAACCCGAATTTGAATGATTATAATGCATTAAATTTTAGATTATCTATATAATTGCATACGTAATAAATGTTATTTCTAATATTTATTGCACATATGTTAATTTTAATGCATTCTAAACTTATTGTGAGTCTTCTAACACTACAAGAAGTAACTAATTAGTCACTTGATGATCAAGCAATTAAATTATGGAATGTGAATTAATCAAGGAACACAATAATTAAACTAAACTACAAGTATCAAGTTAAAAAAAAAGGGGTTCATCTTCATCCAAAACAAAATTGATCTAGTCTAGCATACTTTTATATAAATTACAGAAATAAAAATAGAAAAATATCGCTCGGATGATGAATTAATCCAAAAAGATGTTGATCTTCTTTCAAAGTTGAATTCTTCAAATTAAATAGAAAACAAAATCACTCGGATGATGAATTATGCAAAAAGATGTTGATCTTCAACTTCAAGGTTGAATTCTTCAAAATCTTGATGTAATTGGCTTCAATTCTTTGTTAGGAATTGATCTCCTTTCTCAAAATATAACAATTGACATCTTGTTTTTGAAGAATTTGATGACGTTATTTTGTATATAGAGGCAAAATGGTCTTTCTTAATGTTTTGGCTAAGTTTTATATTTATAGAAGTCTAAAAATTAAGCCAAACTCGAGTAGAATTAACTGGAATTGAACACAGCAAGAAATTGCACGCGAAGTCCTTGAAATAACCCCGTACATGCACGCCGTCAAACTTACCGCACGAGCACATTTGAGCCAGATGGCTCTCGAGTCATGAAATTTGGTATCTCAAGCGCTCACTGGAATTATTAGCCCGCGCAGTGCCGATTTTAATCACTTTGCCCCTGAGCAGCATTTGGTATTTTGGTCATAACTTTCTCTCTCGATAGTCGATTGAGGTGATTAAAAGTGAGTTGAAAATATAAACCAAAGTGATACAATTCTTATAGAAATAGTGATTTTCCAATTCGAATGTTTGCTACCCGTAAAATAGGTCTCAATCCGATGCTGAAAATCTAGACCATAACTTTTTTCGGTTGGAAATTTATTTATTAAAATAGGTTAAATATATTTCACTCATTTGACATTCAATTGCATCTAATTGATCATATGTGATCTTCAATCATCATTTTATGGTTCGAATCAACTATTTGATAGTTACACTTTGGTCCCCGAAATTTGAATTTCTTTCATTTTCCCCTTTTTCTTTCCTATCTTCCATTCCATTAATTTGCCTCGAGTTTTATCTAACAAAAAAATTTACATTTCATTAAGTCATAATTCATTAGAAACTAAATACAATTGATCACATTTAATGTTTCAGATAAATGTATAAAATACACTTATCAAACACTCATAGACACCAACAAACTTGAATGATTGTTTGTCCTCAACCAAAATAGATTTGACTTAATCACAAAATTTTTAAATAAGTATAGTTAGATAATTTGTCATTGGCCTTAAGATTGGAATTCTTGTATTAAAACTATGAATTGTTTCAAAATCACATTGTTAAAATTAATTTCTACTTATTCAATGTAAAATCGACATGTGTGTGAAAAATCATGTAAAATATCATAAATTCATAAATTGATTCAATTCCCGACCTTAAAAGTCAAATATTTTATTTCTTCGCATATAAGATTCATACCACCAAACTGATTATTTTCACTCTTTCCCAAGGTGTGATCCAAAATTGAATTTTTATATAATAATAATCTCATCTCTCTAGTTTGGTTAGATCTTACTAATTGCACTTCGACATATCGACAAATAAAGATTCTCCTTATTTTTTATTGCTTCAACCTCCAAAAATCAATTAGACTAATAACCTCTTGCTAAAAGTCTAATTCTCTCAAATAAGTGTTTTTGACTTAATCAAGGTATGTAACAATCTTTATATATGTGTATTTTTTTTTT